ATATATAACTTTCGTTATGTGGTTGAAAAAAGTGGGTAAAGGTCTCACTATGCTTAGCGTGTATACTGAAGCTACAAGTCTAAGCTCAGCCTTCTCTGGTTACCACTTTCTGTACTTACACACTTCAGTCCTATCTCCCCCCCCACCCCATCTTGCCTCTACCTTCAGTAAACAACCCAGACTGTTTTTCTGGGAAGTCTCCACGGAGCCTGGTCTCACAAAGGTTAGAAATGACCACACACACACACACACACACACACACACACACACACACACAGCACAGATCCTAGCTGTCAAGTCTAGATCTGTCTGACGTTAAGTCCAACTACTCTGAAGTGTTTCATCTTTGACAACTTCCTTTGACACAGTCTCTTCTCTGGTGTTCATGATGTTCCTTTCTCCTGGGTCTCTTCCTGCCTTTCTGTGTGGGTATATACGGTCATTCATCTCCATCATTCTCTGATCCTTCCTGCCTTTCTGTGTGGGTATATACGGTCATTCATCTCCATCATTCTCTGATCCTTATGTTTCTGCGACATTCAATTCCATGTTGTTTTCCTTCTCACATTTAAAATTCATTCCCACCTCTACAGTCTTATTTTGTTCATTTCTGTATAGTACCGATATGAAAATGCAAGTTTAAGGGACTGGAGAGATGGCTCAGCAGTTAAGAGCACTTGCTACTCTTGCAAAGGACTGGGGTTTGACTCCCAGAACCCACATGGTGGCTGACAGGACCTGATGCCGTCTTCTGACCTCCTCAGGCACCAGCCGTTAACATGATGCACATCTACGCAAACACCCATATACATAAAACTGAAAGAAGATCTTTCTTATAACACAGATTTGGGCACTAAAACTCTTCAGCGTACTTTGATGTCTAGAAATGCGAACCTTCTAGCTTTGTTCACTTTTGTTAAAGATTGCTTTGGCCATTTGGTTTTTATTGTAGCTTCAAACATGTCTTAGAATTTTTAATTTCTATGCAAAATGCCATTGGGATTTTGCCTTTCGTTTACATTTTGAGTTGGGGGTTTTGTTTTGTTTTTGTTTTTGTTTTTTGCTTTGGTTGTTTTGGTTTTTGTTTTGTCTTGTTAGGTTTGTTTTGGTTTACTGGTTGGACGATTGGTTTTGGTTTCACTTTTTATGGGGTTTTCTTTTTGTGTTCCAGGAGACAGATGGTTCCAGGACATATCTAGGGAACAAGTGACCTCAGAGTTCAGACTCACTTTTAAAAGCTAAAATTAAAAGTTAGGCTTTTATTCATTCAGGTAATTATAATGTCGGCATAGTAAGATATACATACATATATATATCCATATATATATATATATCACGTCCTCTACCTATGGAAAAATTTAATATCTTCCTTTCTGAGTCAGATGTTCCTCTTTCCCTTTTTGCTCTTCTGGCTAGGACCTTCACTGCTATGCTGAGTAGAAGTGGTGGAAATGGGTATAGTCTTGATCTTAAGGGAAGAAGTTTCATTTTCACCGTGGATAATGATGTTGGCTTTTGGTTTGTTACAAATAGCCTTTGTTATGCTGAGGTACACGCCTTCTATATATAACTTGTTGAGAGGTTTTTTTCTATGTATATACAATGACATGATGTTGGGATCTACACCTTTCTCTCAAACTCTGTCTAATTAACTGTCATCTGAGCGTGCCTCCTGGGACCTCTCTCAAATAATTCACATCCAGCTTCACCACAGTGAGCCCATATTTCCCCCACCAATGTCTGTTCCCACTTCCCTCTGCCTGATCAGATTGGCCTTTCTGGTTCTACAATGTTGTATAGATCAGTCTTCAGGAAAAGGATCTCTATTCTCAGTTCCCAACCTTCATTGACAAAGACCATTTAACCTATTAGGACCAAAAATTAAATTATCACAAAGAGAATACCTGTTCATTCATGACACCTAAAATTTTACTAAGAGCTATTAGTTATTATTCTTACATTCCATTTTTGTTGCAAGTTAACAGTTTCAAGGTATAAAATGACAGAGCAAGATAAAGAATTAAAAGTGTACCTTTTCTGCAGGTGCACAGTGTACGGCTTCTCGTCTATTGGAATAATGTAAGATATCTGTTCCTGGAGAACCCAGAAAAATGGAGTGAGGCCACGTTTGTTCAACGTGTGAAGCGAAGCAGTGGCTGCGTCCCACCCAGTTCCACCAAACAAGCCCAACAGACCTTCATAAACCACCACAGACTGCCTACCTGTGATTCAAAATCGGCGGCACAGACTTTTAAATGTTTACTTTTATTGTCAAACTAGTCTTACTGTTTCTAGAAAACCAAACCAATCATGATTTACACCAGGTTAGAATTATACTTGGAACCAAATCCTAAACTCCTATGATAGAAGAGACCATGTGCCGTGCTGTAACTGTAGAAAACGGGGCATCTTCATCTGTTTTAAGGGAGACCCTATATGTAAGGAGTTACTGGGCTGGTTAATTTTTGTCACCTTGACACAAACTAAAGTCACCCGAGAAGAGGGACCTCAATTGAAAGATTTCCTCCACACAGTCACCTGTGGGCTTATCTGTGGGGCTCTTTTCTTGTTAATCCATGTAGGAGAGCTCAGCCCACTGTGGGCAGCTCCATCCCTGAGCAGGTAGGCTGGTCTGTACATGAAAAGTAGCTGAGCAAGCTAGGGACAGCAAGCCAGGGAGCAGTGTCCCTCACGGTCCCTCAGTTTCTGCCTTAAACTCCTGCCTGGCTTCCTTCCCTCCATGATGGACTGTAACTTTCAAGCTGAAATAAAACTTTCCAAGTCACTTTTGGTCAGTGTTTTAATCACAGGAACAAAACACAAAGTAGGACAGTTACCCTAAGTAGTTCTTGGATAATTTCTCAAAACAAAACTAGAATGATTATTAAGATGTTAGTGTATAAAAGAACACTTTCAACTGTCCTTTCATGATGGGCATTAACGTGTATTGCCCATTTGCAGAATATATAGAAAATTTTAGGAAAACCCTTAAAGAAAGTAAAGGGATTGATCAATGGAGGCCACATGCGATTTAATGAGCAATTGGGTTAAATCTATGTTTAAATTACTACTTTCTGTGTTTACGAAATCCCGCTTCTGGAAGCAGAGCAGAGTAATAGCTAATACTCTTGAGAGACCATCTCCGCACAGAAGCATCTGTTTGAACAGCTTTTCATGCACTAACCTGCCTTCACAAGAGCTAAGGAAACCAAGTGAGAGGCCAGAGTACCTGGTTTTATCAAAGGAATAGAAAAAGATGCATCCAGTAAGGCAGGAAGGTAGGCACTGCCCACATCACACTTGTGCAACTCCAGGCACCACAGGGTGGCCCGGCTCCCTGGTTGGGGGAGGAAGAAGGAATTAAGACTAGTCCTTCATACTGAAATAGATCACCAGGCCCAGAACTGGGCAGAACCATGAGGCCTTGGCCACAGGTTAGCATCCAAGGACAGGGCTTCTGAACTCACTTTAGCAGGGAGACAAGCAACAACTTTAACCATCCCTTGGGAAACAAAGCATGGAGGAAAACAAGACTCCATCAGCTAGGGATAGAGGAAAGCATTAGGCTTTGTCTTGGAACTCAGAACTAAACCTAACAGTGAAATCCAATACCACAGAAAACACAAAACCCCCCATACCCAGGCCAACCTTCACAAGCACAGAGTCTAGACTGCCTGCCTATAGGCAGAGTCCTGCAGCCTGGTAGGCTGGACTGGAATTTTGGTTCTGCATTTCACCCAGCTATGGCATAGGCCTGGGTCATACCCTTGAGAAAAATAAGATCCATGTAGCCATGACTTCCAGGTGCAAGGCAGCTCAACACCAAGCCACGGAGTTCAGACAAGCTCGACATGCTGGGTTAGAACAGGGAAGTAACATGGGACTCTATTGTGGAAGTCAGTGCTAAGCCCTTGAAATCCAGCACTGGGTAGATGCCAACGGTCCCTGTCCCCAGGCCAGTGCACACAGAAAAATGCATACTGCTCTTCCAGAGGACCTGAGTTCAGTTCCCAGCTCCTATGTCAGGTGGCACTCCAGCTCCAGGGGATCAGACACCCTCTTGACAGTGACCAAAGTCACACACACACACACACACACACACACACTCATATGTGTAGCATACACTCAGATACACACACGCACACACACTCATGTGTGCAGCATACACTCACATACACACACATACAAATACTTTAAAAATTAATTAAAAATAGTGAAAACAACTAAGGAAGATCATTACATAATGATCAACTGGTCATTTTAGCAAGAGGAAATTACAACTGTAAAGATCTATGTAGCAAATATCATAGAACTTAATATATAAAGCATGCACTGCAGACCTAAAGGGAGAGAGAGTCGAACGCAGCAATACTAGGAGACACCAACACCTCACTCTCCAGGACTGGACAGATCATCCAGACAAAAAAGCCAACAAAGAAACAGCAAGCCAATGGGACCTAAGAGAGCTCTGCAGAACACAGCATCCGATACTGCACAACACATTCTTCTCAAGAGCACAAAGAACGTTCTTCGGGCTAGGTCACGTGCTGTGCCACAAAGCAAGCTTCAACACCATGTCAAAAACGGAAGTCATGTCATGTATGTTTTCTAGTAGAAATGCAATAAAACTAGAAGTCAGTTAAAAACCTGAGAACTATACAAATACACGGAAATTAAGCAACTCACTCCTAAATCACCAATGGAAAGGGAAGAAATTAAAGGGTAAATTTAGGAATATCTCAATGGGGCTGGGGAGATGCCACAGTGGGCAGAGATTCGCCCATACAAGCATGAGGAACCAAGATCAAAATTCCAGCACCCACAAAAACCAGCATGCCTGGAATTCCAGGGCTCAGGGGCACAGCAGGGGGATCACTAGGGCAAGCTAACTAGCTAGTCTAGCTGAATCAATAAGCTCTAGGTTCAAGGAAGAGAACTTGCCTCAATACATAAGCAGAGAGCCATCATAGAAAACACCCAACATCATACTCGGGTTTTCACATGCACACATGTGCACTCATGCACGTGTGTACACACAGGCATACATGTACGTACACACAACACACACACGCACACTAGAAAACCTCTACACGAGTGGAAATGAGTACAGCATAAACAATATTAGGAAGAAAGTTTATGGCAATGAATAGCTACATGAAGAAAGCAAAAAGTATAAAATAAAATACCCCTCATTGAAATCACAAACTAGAAAAGCAAGCTCAGGGGCTGGAGAGACGGCTCAGCGGTTAAGAACACTGGTTGTTCTTGCAGAAGACCCAGGTTCGAATCCCAGCACCCACATGGCAGCTAACAACTGTCCATAACGCCAGTCCCAGGGGATCTGACAGCCTCTTCTGTCCTCCATGGTCATTGCACAACACGGGTGCACTTACCAACATGCAGGCAACACATGCATACACATAAAATTAAAAAAAAAAAAAGAAAAGAAAAGCAAGTCCAAAATTAATACAAGGAAAGAAGTAATAAAATTACAGCAGATGGGGCTGGAGAGATGGCTCAGCAGTTAAGAGCACTGACTGTTCTTGCAGAGGACCCACATGGCGGCTACAAACAGTCCTTAGCTCCAGTTCCAGGGGAATCCAAAGCCCTCTCTGACCTCCGTGGCATTGCACGACATGGGTGCACTCACATACATGCAGGCAATACATTTGTACGCATAAAATAAAAATAATAAATATTTTTTAAAAGATCACAGCATAAATAAATGAACACTTTAAAATAATGTAAAAGTCAAGCATGACAGTATACACTATGATCCAAACACTGGGGAGGCTGAGCTCCAGGCTCGTCTAAGCTACATAGTCTCTGTCTAAGCTACATAAGCTCTGTCTCAAGAAATAAAATAAGTAAAAATTTTTTAAAAAAATGTGATGTCACATGCCTTTGATCCCAGCACTTGGGAGACAGAGGTAAGTGGATCTCGGTGAGATCAAAGCCAGCCTGGTCTACATAGTGAGTTCCCTACAGGGAGACCCTGTCTCAGAGAACCGAAGAATAAAAATAACTCATTAAATTTAATTAAAATACAAAATATCAGTGGAATGAGGAGTTGGGTTTTTGAGATGATAGAGGTGATAACACTCACTGACCCAAGAGAGAGAAAAGTTTTAAACACCTTAGAGCCAAAAAAGGAACATTATAACTTGTTTCACAGACACAAGGAGGATTGTTAGAAACCATGTAATTACAAAATGGAAAACCAGAATAAACAGGCAAATTCCATTTATTATTCCATTGCTGACAAAATTTGTTTCACTATAATCTCATTTGTTAATTTTCTTTTACATCCATGTTGTTCAGCTCTTATCCAACACACTGTCCTCAAGATGTCCTGTACGTTTTCCTCCAGAAGCTTCATAGCTTCAGACCTACTTTTAAGCCATTGATATTTGTGTGTAAGAAAGGGATCTAGCTTTAGTCTTTGGTAGATACACATACTGTTCTCCTAGGAACATATACTATAGAGACTGTCCCATCTCTTGATGATTCAATCTTGGCAATGAAAATTATGACTCTACTGGAAGAAACACAATCCCAGTTCTGGGGAGGCAGAGAGAGGTGGGTCCCTGGCCAGACTGTGTAACCTAATCCAAGAGCCCGAGGTCTGTAGGAAAAACAACCAAATAAAACCAAAATTACAAGTAGCATAAGCCCAGGTATCCCACTACCATATCATCCTATTTCAATAGGAAATGTTCCTAATGTGATTTGATATAAAACATCATTTCTACTGTAATGTTCAGAGGCTAGGGCTTTGAGACGTGAGGGGCCTGACCTAGTCAATCACATCATTCATTGACTGACTCACGATTTGAAGGCATTCCTGGGAGGGGTTGGAAACCAGGAAGGAGGGGCAAGGTTTGGAAGTGTATAGTATCATTTCATGTCTTTCTTTCTCCTAAATATTTTGTACTACTAGGAATTGAACCAAGAGTCTCGTAAGACACATAAGTTCTAATGTTCTACAGCACAGGACAGCAACTGTAGCCCCAAAAAAATTCATTACATATTTCATAAAAACCTAGGGAAGAGTTATACAAAATTTCCATCACAAATAAGTAAATATTAAAGGAGATAAAATGGTAACTGCGGTGTGTGTTGTTCAGCTTTTTACCACTGTCCATTACTCTAACAAATACTAGAAATAACCAGCTTATAAAGACAAATGGATATTTCTGGAACACAATTTTAGAGCTGTCAGTCGCTGTTGATTTTTCCAGAACCTTGCCTGCCCACCCCGTCCCCACACTCCCAGGCCTAGCTGGGGTCACACAGCTCCTGCTCTGTCCCAGTCTGGTGAGCGCCTCATACTGTCCTCACACTCCCAGCCTAACTCCTCGGGCAGACCCATCCAGGAGTCGCACACACACATGCACACGCTTTCTTGGTTACCACTGAGCTGGAATCACCCCCATCTCTCCAGTCAAAAATCAATATGAGTATATGAAGATTTGTCCTAGCAACTCTTCATACTTCGTGTGAAATCAATCGTGCGTGGGGAACAAACAGAACCAAACTTCCATTTAACAGAGGCAGGCTAGAATTTCATATCAGAAAAACAATCAACAAAGTCCACGCGCCCAGGTCACAAAAGTCCACATGCCCAGGTCACAATGCAAAAACACTAGCAATATGAAACACCAAGACAGTATCCCCCATCCCCCCAAAAAACCACCAATCCTGTAGGAATGTTCTATAAGGACGATTCCCTAGATGAACTCAGACACAAAATTTAAAAGAAAATCACAAAGATAATCAAAAATTCAAGGAGTTGAAAGAAGACATGAACTTTAGGGTGCAGGGAAATCCCCTGAGCGAAGTCCAAGAAAACAATGAATGAAACGATGGAGACAACCCAGGATTTGAAACCTGAATTCAGTAAAAAGAAATACTCAAGAAAACTCAAATTGAAATGAGGATAAAATTGAAAAGATCAATAACGCAATTAGAAAGCTCAGGAGAGCCCACCAGTACGGTGGGTCAAGTGGAGGACAGACTATCAGGACACGAAGATCAAGTAAAGGAACTGGAGCATGCGAAGAAGGAAAACAATTTTAAACACATGAAAGGAATATGCAGGAACTTTGAGACACTAGAAAGACCAAACCTATTCATCATACCCATAGAAAAAGGTGAATCCCAGATCAACAGTATAGATCAAATCTTCAACAGCACGATGGAAGAAAAGTTCCCCAAATTAAGGAAAAACATCACCACACAGATACAAGAAGCACACAGACACCAAATACACAGGACCAAGAAACTCCCCATGGCATATTGCACCTCCAAAGGTTTCCTCCAAGGTGCCAAGCCAGAGTTGCCAACAAGCGATAGCTGCGAGGCCCTGGACGATGATAAGGGGGCTTCATGGGGAAGGGTGTATCAAAGGCTGTTGAGCACATCGATAAAATTATTGTACTTGCTCTGGTTGGCACAAAATTGAATGTAGTGAAACAGAGATGGTCAAAGTGATGATTGAGATGGGTAGAGTTAAAATTAGTTCAGTTTGGTGTGAATGACATCCTGGGGGTGCCCCTTGCTGTCTGTAAAGCTGGTGTTGTGGAGAAGGGAGTGCTCATATACTGTCACATGGCTACCTTAGCTGGCAAGTCCAAAGTCATCCTGCCAGTCCCAGTTTTCAGCATGATCAACAGCAGTTTTGCTGACAACGTGTTGGCCATGTAAGAGTTCATGATTCTCACCATGGGTGCAGCCAGCTTCCTGGAAGCCATGTGCCTTGGAGCAGACGGTTTCTATAACCTGAAGAACATTGTCAGGGAGAAGTATGGGCAGCAAAGGCTGCTTTGTACCTAACACCCCAAAGAACACAGAAGCCCTGGAGCTTCGGAAGAAGGCCTTGGGAAGGACTGCCCACTACCCTGACAAGGTTGGCATCTTCCTAAAGCCGAGCAAATATCACCTGGACTTCAAGTCTCTCCATGATGCTGGACCCAGTCATTCCTGACCAGCTGGCTGCCCTGTATGAGTCCTGCATCTGGGGATATCCAGTGGTGGTCATCGAAGCCCCCTTTTACCAGGATGACTGGGAAGCTTGGCAGACATTCACAGGTAGTTAGAGATGATCTCACAGTGACCATGGCCAAGGCCACAGGCAAGAAGTCTGCTACAAGTGAGCCAGATCATTTCTGTGCCTGAGTCTCCACAGGCATACAAGCTGGTTCAGTTCAATGTAGAGTGTCATGCTATCTTCTTTGGAATTAGACCTTCTTTGAACCTACCAGAATTCTGCAAAGTGTCCATCTGTTCCTGGGTATTTTTTTTTCTGGGAGGTTTTTAATTACAGCTTCTGTCTCATTGGTTGTTATTGTTGTATTTAAATTGTTTATCTCACCTTGGTTTAGCTTTGGTAGGTCATATATATCTAGAAATTTATCCATTTCTTTTAGATTTTTTAGTTCAGCAGAATATATGTTATAAAAATATGTTCTGTGGAGCTGGAGAGATGGCTCAGCATTTAAGAGCACTGACTGCTTTTGCAGAGGACCAGGGTTTGATTCCCAGCACCCAAGTGGCGGCTATGAACCAGCCTTAATTCCAGTTCCATGGGAATCTGAAGTCCTCTTCTGACGTCCATGGCGTTGAACAACACAGGTACACTCATACATGCAGGCAATACATTCATACACATAAAATAAAAATAATAAAATATTTTTTATAAACATGTTCTTGTGATTCTCTGAATTTCCTCAGTATCTATTGTAATATTTCCCTTTCTGGGAGGGGATCACGGCTCCAGCTCCCAAGAAGGAACCACAGCTCCAGGCTCATGGGAGGAAATCAGAGCTCCTGATGTCCAGAAGGGGACCGTGACTCCAACTTCAGAGGAGGAGGCCACAGTGCCAGCTTAAGGCAGAGGAACACAACCCTAGGACACAGGAGGAGACCACAACTTAGGCTCACAGGGGGGAACCTCGTTTTTTTCCAGGAAAATGGATTGAGCTGGAATTCACTGTGGTAGGCAAAGGAAGCTAGATTGAGAAAGCCAAGCATCACACATTCTCTCACGTGCGGACTCTAGGAGCTGGAAAGACATGAAATGAGAAGTGGAAGACAGTGTATTCCTGAGGATACAGGACGGGACCACGAGAAGACAGCCGGGGACGTAAGAGGGTTAACTTGATCAAAGCTAATTACATGCACATACCACCTGCCACGATTAAACACAATCAAAAATCCCTCTAGTTTTTATGAGCTGGTGAGATGGCTCGGCAGCATAGTGCAAACTGCTCTTCCACAGGGCCCAAGGCCAGTTCCCAGCACCTACGTCACACAGGTTACCACTGCCTGTCACTGCAGCTCTGGTGCCTCTGCAGACACTGCACTCTCTTATTCACTCATGCGGAGATGTGTGCACATGCGTACACACACACACACACACACACACACACACACACACACACAACTAAGAATAAAAATGAAATCCGAATAGAAATAGCTCTAGTGCCCTGCTCTTTAGAGTCCCTGGTCTAACAGCCTTCTTTCATGCTGTCCCTTTCTCTCCCCTTCAGGCCCAGTTGGTAGTGTTTCTCCTGTGTTAGATTCAGCTTAGATGCTTGTATCCTGAGTAACCTCTTTCCAGAACATTGTCCAGCCAGAGCTCTGGTGTCCAGCCAGAACATGTGTTCTCATTTTAAAAACTACATACAGGATAAGAGTTTTCTAAAGCTTTATGTCCATTTATTTTTTCTTAACAAGACTTTCTATGTCTCATCTCTCATATCCAACTGCAGGCATCATTTATGAAAACAATAGGCCACACCTTCAGTGCTTTACTTGGAAATCCCTCTGCTAAATACCAATGGCTGTCACAAGTTGTATCTTCCAGGAATCACCAGAGCACAATTCCCTTAGGTTCTTTGGCACAATTAACCAAGATTCTCCTTTCTTGCATTTGCCAATAAGACGTTTCTCATTTCTGTCTGTGACTCCACCAGAAATACTATCAATGTCCATATTTCCATGAGTTCTATTCATGACTCTGTGTGCACTCTGAAACGACAGACGCGTTCTCTGTATCTCTTCTGTCTCCATTCTGAACCCTCATCAGAGTTCCTTTAACATCCACGTTTCTACCAATAGTTCAGTCTCTGCAAGACAATCTAGCATGCTGAAAATCTCAGCCTCTATTTGCACGGTTCCAAAGCCACTTCTACACTTTTAAGGATTTGTTACGATAGCACCCTACTTTGGATGACCTAAGAAACTGTGTTGGTCTCTTCAGTCTGCTTAGACAAAATGCCACAAACGATGTGGCCCACAGGCAAGGCAGCCAACACACAAGGCAGCTCAGACAAGGCGGCTAGCACAAGAGAAATTAATTTTCCCACAGTTTTGAAGGCAAAAGTCCTGATTCAGGGGCAACACAGTTGGCTTCCAGGGGCCTCTCATCTATTTTCATACATTTGCTCCATGCCCATGCTCCCACACTGTCTCTTCCTCTTCTGTAAGTACACATGGGCTACTGGCCTCAGACTCTTATTAGATCTCATCTAGCTTCAGTGCAGCCCTGAAGATACTGTCTCCAAATATAGTCATAATAGGAGACAGGATTCAACACATGAAGGTGGAGGGAATGCAATCCAATCCTTAACAGAGCTCTCACATACAAAATCAAAAACAAGATCCTTAAAGGAAAATTTGGTAATGTATATGTCATCCACATTGCAAATATTTGAATTTCAAACATTTTGAGAAAATAAAAAAGCAAGCCACAATTCAGGGGAACATAATTACTAATCATAGTACTGTAGAGAACTTGTCAAGAACATACAATTAATTCCTAGGACTCACCAATAAATTTGGATTTAAAATGGATGAATGATTTGAATAAACATTGGAAAGAGGTATATCAATCGCTAATGGTCTCATGGAAAATGCTGGGCATCATTGTTATAGGAGAATGTGCATGAAAGCCATCATAACACACCACATCCACAGCACAGATCCACTTCAAAAGACAAACAACATCAAATATTCGCCAATATGAAGAAAACCTGGAATGCTCACATATTACCGCTGTTGTAAAATATAAATTGATATGGTCACAATCACTGTGGAGAACCACATGGCAGTTTCTAAAAGCATTCAACATAATCTCGCCAACTTCACTACTAAGTGTCTACCCAAAAGAAAGGAAAATACATGTGTATACATGAATATCATAGAATACATTTTGTAAGAGCCATACCTGAAAATTAGTCAAATTTCTATCAATTGATGAATGGATAAATAAATGTGGTATTCCATATTTACTAAGAAATAAGCATGAATTTCCTCATAAATATTACCCAAAAAATCTGCTTATAATCCCAGTGCTGGGCCAGTGGAGACAGGCAGATCCCTGGGGCTCACTGGCCAACCTAGTCTACCTGCCAGGTCCAGGTCAATAAGATGCCATCTCACAAAATAACATGGAAGGCTCCTGAGAAAAGTGACCAGAAGCTGACCTCTGGACTCTAAACACACACATACATACACATGCATACACACCTACCCACACACATGAACATGCACATACTTGTACATACACGCACACAAAGATTTATCATTTGTAAGTCAGGCACACGTAACTGTATATGTTTAACTTCCAGGATATCATTCTACAGAGGAATTTATGTGTTTTATAGCTATGTAAACCATATATACACATAAGAAATTTCATAGAACAATTTATATTGTGAAAAAATATTTCTTACTTCTGAGCTTGTATTCCCTTTCATTTTTTCTGGAAATATGATTTGTAGAAATGAATTTTGAGAACCTGAAGAAATAAAAATAAAGAGTTAGGAATCCTATCTTTAATTTCACTAAATATTCAATTTCTTGTGCAAGGTTTCCTTAAGCAAGTATGGCTGGCTCATCCCTGTGGAGTCCTATACGAACTGCAGGTGCTTGTCTCACAGCTACATGTACTAAAATTGGAACAAGACAGAGAGAACTAACATGGCCCCTGGACAAACATGACCTAAAATAAAATTTAAAATTTAAAATAAAACCAAATCTAAAATAAAATAGCAAAAACACTGAAAATTTTTATTTGAAAAGCAGAAAAAAATAGTCATGAAAAACGAAAGGAGGTATTGGACTTACCCAAAAGTTGTTGTTTCCAGAAATACACAAAAATAAACAAATCAAAGATATGCTTTAAGAAAATCTTCCTGAAATAAAATATTTAAGACAATAGAAAGCACATGGCTTTTCAAGAACTGATAGTGATGAATCAAGGATGAGACATATTCTCCTGAAGTTATTAGGCTTCTAAGATAAAGAATCATGTAGGAATATAAAAAGGAAACCATATACAGTATAGAAAGGGGAAAGGAACCTGGCTTGAGTATTCACTATTAAAAGGCTCAATTTAAAGAAAGAAGCCAAGAACCCAAGAAATTTGTGCTCATCATCTGCCATTCAACTACCAAAGAAAAAGGCAAAATTTACAAGTAAATTCTCCAAGAAAATAATTCACATCTGCCAGTCACAAAAGGCAGACCAATGTCTCAGAATAAATACATCTATATAATTTTGCTAAAAAGTCCGATGGTGACCATTAAATAAACTTAAATACAGAGCAAAGGATGCAACAAATGTGAGAACTATAGTTATGTAATAGATACAAAAGTTAAAATTTATGATAATGGGGGCTAGAAAGATGGCTCAGCAGTTAAGAGCACTGTCTTCTCTTGCAGAGGACCCGGGTTCAAATCCCAGCTCCAACATGGTGGCTAACAACTGTCCATAACTCCAGTTAGAGGGAATCTGAAGTCCTTTTCTGACCTCTGTGGGTTCTGTACAAAGCGGGTACACTTACATACATGCAGGCGATATATCTGTACACATAAAAAAATTATGATGATGAATCCACAATGACATCAAGATCAGGACGCAGCACAGGGAGGAGAGCAATCACACAACTCAGCGCCTCAAATTTACTAGATGTAATAGTTTAAAATGTGAGTATAAGGGTAAAAAACTAAAACTAAAAACACCTAAGCATGAAGTAAAGAGAGAAAGGAGACAAAAAGAAGTAGCGCAAAGCTAAATTTCCTCATCACCCAACGGACATGGCATGCATTTATTACGTGAATTAGATTCACATGTTCAAAATTAAAATAACATACCCAAGGCACCAAGAAAATGAACAAAATGATCACAGGTTTATATAGTAGAGGACATTTTAACAAGACTAAGCATGACATCAGAAACATGAGCAGCATGACAGTCATGTAAACACCTCTGCATATCAGCAAAGTTAAGAAGGATAAAGTAGGAGAGAAGATAGACCATCATGTTGGATTTACAAAATCAAAATCCAATTACTCACACCTTTAAATGATATTAAACACTGGTTCAACTTGACTTTTGAGGACCTAAAATATGTATTTCACGTGAGGGAAGGTGACTACAAGAGGCAGTGAAATATGGAATTTAGGTTAAAATACACAGCTGCTCCCCTGGTCTATAAATCCATCCTTATTTCTCTGATCGTGTCACATCTTGTATAAAGAGATATGAGTAGTAATTCATGGAATTCACACATTACCTTCCTGGATCATATACCAAAGTTGTTATGATGGGGAGAATGACTAAAAAGTCACTTCAATCAGTGGTAACTACAATAGCAGATATTCCTAAAGTAGTGTCTTTCCTTGAAGCAGATGAACACAAGCATCATCAGCACTTGTGTGCAGCCACTGACAGGAAAAGAAGCTGTTGTTCTGTGACAATAAGCCAACCCCACAAACAAGTTTGCACTTTCACTAGGCAGAGATGATACTCCACCTTTACTGTGTTACCCATTTTTACTCTTCTAAAGTCCTGGTCCCATGTCTACCAGCAATGTTACCACCTCACTACCTGTGGTAGATAGAATGATGACCCCCTCCAAAGATATCAAAGTCCTGATTCCCAGAACTTACAAATACATTAGGTTACAGGGCAAAGCAGGAGTAAGGTTGCTAATCAACTGACCTTAAAATAATCTTGGTTTATCGCTGTGGACTTAACACATTCTCAAAAGTAGAAAAAGGAAGCAGAAGGGACAACCAGAGAACCGGAAACATCAAAAGTGCTCAGGCCAGGCGCTGAAGAGATGGCTCCCGGTTCGAGTCCCAGCACCCACGTGGTGGCTACCAACCGTCCTTAACTCCAGTTCCAAGGGAATCCGACGCCCTCTTCTGACTGCCGAGGCATTGCATGACACAGGTGCACTCACATACATGCAGGAAATACACTCATGCACATAAAATAAAAATAAATATTTTTAAAAGAAAGAACCTGAAATCTAATAATTTTTAGCATTGAATTTCACTCCAATAAACTAGAAATCTGAGAAGTCATGCAGTAGAAAAATTTTGTGAAGGCAAAGAAAGTAGTCAATGTAGGGAAACCTTCAACCAGATTCCAGAATCCAGTCCGAACAAGAACACTCCTGGGAGTAAGCGATGGGAATGCCGATAAATGCCAATCGTCTCAAACCTATCAGATTGCACACTGGACACAAACCATGAGCGTCAGGGATACAGCATGTAGCCATAGAAATGCAGTGCTGGTTGGAAAGCCTTCACTCATCTGGTCTTTCAAACAAACGAGTGGAAGCACCACAACAAATTCAACCATTTGTTCTTGGACATGAAGGAGCTCACACTGAAGAATAGAACGAATACGTGAAGCTATCATTTGCTTCTCAAACTTTTGAAGGTGGCTGATGAAACACATGAAAGGTAGATCGTATAAATACAAGGAGTGTGGAAAAGCAGTTACCGGTTCCAGTTCATTTTAGATACATGAAAGAACTCACAGTAGAGTCAAGCCCCATCAGTGTGAACAGCCTGGCAAGCCTTCAGTTGGCACACTTCCTTTCAAGTGCGGGAACGAAGTGACAGTGAAAAGAGAGCAGACCAGTGTGAAGAACGTGGGAGACCCTTCTTTAATCCCAGCCCCTCAAAGACACGTGTTCTCACACTGCACTTAGCCGAGTGAGAACGTCTTCATTTCTTTCCTAGGCTTTCAAAAACAGTAACACACTGGAGATGCACCTTGTAAAGAAAAGGGCCGTGGGAAAGCATTCAGTTACGACAGGTCATTTCAAATTCATAAAACGCTCAGGAGAGCCACCCCATGAATGCACAATGTGGCAAAGCTTTCATGTATTACCCAATTTGGGGGGCACATGAGCAGACATGCTGCAGACACGCACTCCAAATGTAAAGAACGTGGGAACAACGATGTCAAAAACCTCCTGAAGGTAAGGACATGGGAAAGCCTCCAGACTGTCCAGATACTTACAAAGATACAGTAAGAATGAATGACTGGAAAGCTTAGAAACGACAGGACTCAAAGCACTAGAA